TCCCCTCCATCACTGTGCTTGACAGCTGGTATGAGCTGTTTACGCTGATATGTTTATGCTAATATTATGCATTATGGTAGATATTTCCACTTTGGCCTCATCATTCCAAAGAACACTGGTCCAGAAGTGTTGTGGTTTGGCCAGATGCAACTTTCAGACATAAGCTGTGCTGCAACATTCTCTTGAGAGAGAAAAGAGACTTCCTCCTAGTAATAATAATAATAATGGATTGGATTTATATAGCGCTTTTCAAGGCACCCAAAGCGCTTTACAATACCACTATTCATTCACTCTCACATTCACACACTGGTGGAGGCAAGCTACAGTTGTAGCCACAGCTGCCCTGGGGCAGACTGACAGAAGCGAGGCTGCCTAGTGATCTTTCCAAAGAAGCTATACATGTTCAGTGGTTTTCTTTCTGTACTGTATTGAACATTTAACACATTAACTGAGGGCTGCAGACTTTGAGATGTATCTCTTGGTTGTTTGCCTTTTCTTCGACTTTGGGATGAATTTGTTGAGACTTCCACTTTTGGGACAATTAACACACACCTGAACACTCCAGACAAGCAAGCTGCCCAAATCTCTGCTTTGATAGCCTTGGTCACACTTCCTGATGATCATTTAATCAAGTGATTTGTATAGCAGCACCTGACTGCTACTTCTCACCCTAGATCCTATGGAAACAATAAAGGTGCACTTAGTTTTTCACAGTACTACAGAGAGTCCTGTGAAAAGTTGTGATGTGTGTCAGACATAAAGAAAGCCTGCAGTCTTGCCACTGTGTCTGTTGGAGACTCATCTGTCATTTTGTCGTTCACTAGTGGAGTTTTGCTTGGACTCTAAGCATAATTTCTTTGGAACATAGGAAATTATACTCGACTGAGAGGTTGGTGTGTGTTGTGTGAACTTTTTACCGGTTAATTACCTCGGCTGTTTTAAATTTAAATGGATTGTTTTCTTGCAATAGAAGCTTATGTTTTGGTTTGTTTATGCAGGCTCCAAGAGTGATAGGAAAGTTGAAAGTTGAAAGGAAGAGCTCAGACCTCGGCTCTGGGAAGAGGGATCTGATCTGGCTACAAATGATAAATTTGTATATTTCCATTGGGGCCTTAAAGTACTGTGGGAATGACCCTTTGGAGACAGTGTTTTAAACTGGAACAAAAATGTGGACCTACCACAAGTCTCTCAACTTCTTGACAGACTAGCCTGACTCGTTCTCCTTGTTTCCGGTTCAGTTTTATCATCAATTTAAACACAGAAGTATTATCTCATTAACAGTTTCTTCCCCGTCCGTTTTGCTTTTTGTGAATAAAAGAAAAGGCGTTACCACTTTTATGACCTTAAGCCTGATTGGGCTTAAGGTGAAGAGACTTTTCATACATAACACTGCCTAGGCTTGTTGCCATATTTTCAACGATTGCCATTATATATAAAAATGTATTTAAATCAATTATACATTTTAAGGAAACAATTTGATTAATTATTTGTTTTGTTTTGATTGTAGGGATGTGGTCCCACACCATGACAGTACAAGACTACCAAGACCTCATAGATCGAGGATGGAGAAGGTAAGTAGCTACTTAGTATCCTGGTTTCAGCCAGTGGTTTCCTACTTCCATTTGAAACCTTTTCTCCTGAATTCAGTTTAAAAATGGAGTTGTGACTACTTCAAATAAAAATTAATAATTTATTGGCATACTTTTTGTTTTTTCTCCCAAAAATCTTGTCCATGTTTTCATTTTCAGAAGTGGGAAGTATGTTTACAAACCCATAATGCAGAAGACATGCTGTCCACAGTATACCATCAGGTAATTTTATTAACTTGCTTACCAAAATGTCCTTTTATGAGTCATGCTTTAAGTAACTTAAGATCTGATAAGACCAAAAAACCTAGAATACTCAAGGGTTGTTTGATCTATGTTGAAAAAATACATTAATTAAATGTTTGCTTTAACAACCAATAACCTTTACCTTGTATCCTCTCTCAAGATGCCACGCTCTGAAATTCCAGCCTTCCAAATCCCACAAGAAAATCCTGAAGAAGATGAACAGATTTATATCCAAAGGGGAGCTGCAAAAGGGGCAGGAAGATTGTGCAGGTATGTATAATATATGAGGTATTAACACATC